CAACCACATCAACGTTGACAACCCACGCCAGAAGAATTTTCTTAGACTTCCTTTTTTAGAAGATTACCGAGTTTTTGCCAGCAACAACAATGCTTGCTGTATTACATTCTCTCTTGCTCTTCAAACATCTGCGACTTTTCGACGTACCATCCAGAGACAGACAGCTTGTGACAAGATTGTCATTGTGTAATCACTAGAAAAACAGGGTTCTCGCTATGAAACACTACGGTACATGTTGGCGAAGAACTGTAGAACTGTTTAGTTAGGAAAATACGCGACACGTATTTGGGCATAGTTTGTAGGGTTTACCGCCTGACATGTAGGAACTCCGACTTATCGTGAAGCCGGAGTATTAGGCTACGTGTAGTTTGGACGGCTTCAGCATGTTCGAAGTTCATTCAAACCGCGCAGAAGAACTGCCTCTGGGATTTCACTTCTATCAGAATGCGATCTCTGTGTCCGTAATTGAAACCGCATCTTTTGATGCAGCAGCCTACCACCGGAACCTTTGTGCCACCACAGTGACTCCTTATAGACTCTGCTGTAAACGCCTTGAAACTAGAATGTGCAAAAAAATACGAATACAGTACAATCATGACGCGAGTGACCCGCCATGTTGGCATAAATTTTTGCGCAACACACGCGACCAAGACACGTAAACAATTTACGAGAAGTTGCTTGTGCTTTGCACAGTACTCCTCGATTGAGGGCCAGAATAGCGAGGAGAAACAACGCCGTGCCAGTTATTGGGTTTCGAGCTATTCTTCTTACACAAATTTTGGGGTAGCATTACTGATTTATCCCTGCAGACCACGGAGTTTAAAGATCGCGATCGGGGGATACGCTAATCCAGATATAAGCATAATGGCGGAATACCATGGTAACCTTGTTCGATTCATGCTATAAATCTATCAAGCTATCGAATAGGGGAAACATACGCTAAATATGGCAGCTAAAATAAACTTCTTTTGTATTCTGAACGTGTGAAAGTGCTCAAACATAGAAAAAAAAACGCCAGGTATGCACGGTAGGTGCGGCACAGTCACAGCGAAATCTAGGAAAGTGGCCTTTCGGAACATTTTTAAAACACTCATTAGGCAACTGCTGCAACCAGACTTGCTTGATAGTAACTAAGGCATTAATAATAAACTTTTTCGGTAAAGAGCTGGCATTCGCTATGCCAATTTTCGTCATTCTTAATAGAAGCGTGGTATCCGAAAACACTTGCAAGGCATTTTGTTCCAATTGTTTATGCAGTGGCTGATGACGATGAGGAATTATGGCTAAAATGGGTATGCACCAAAGTTTATAGAGGAACAAGAACAAGCATTTGTAATGAGTCGGAACATTGGACGGCTCACTCGTTACGCTATTCGCACTGTGCGATGACTAGTTGTTTTTCCGAAACATTGAAAGGCTTTATAAGTCGTATTAACGCGATTGATTTCCCGAAATCTAGCCTTCACCTGGCAAGTTTCCCAAGAAGTCACAAGTACCGGCGTAGCCCAGTGCCAAGGGATTCCACCCTCAAAGCTAGTGTCCTTTTAGTAGGAGCGCCACCACTTGTTTTCGCGACCTTTACGGCATCGTTTATGTATATAGTGCCTGCAAACACGCAATAAATAAAAAAATTGGCTTAGCTCAGTAGTAGATATCTGGGCTGGTACCCAGCGGACCCGGGTTCGAGCCCCACTGTGTCATCGGCGCTAGGTTTCAGGAGCGAAGCTTTTTAAAAGTGGGTCTGTCCAACCCTTGTATGTATGCAGTAGTACGTACCCACCGGTGACACATACCCGCTGCGGGTATGTGCCACAGGGGATGCGAGATGGGAGATGGCGGTATTTGGAGTGTTCACTAGATGAACGCACGGACGGACGAATGGACAGGCAGACTAGCAGACGGACGGCAAGATGAATAGACGCGCAGATGTGCAGACGGATGGACGCATGAACAGACAGACAGACAGATGGATGGGTGGACTCTCTGACGGACGCACAGACTGATGGACGGACAAATGAATGGACGCACGGATGGTCACGCGGACGGACGAAAGCAAGAACCAACGGACGGACGGAAGCACGGACGGGCTGATGGACGTTTCATCCAGCTCATCATCATTAACTCCATGGTTATGCTGTGATTTTGCTTTTTCTTTCTAATTTCGCGCGATGTAGTTACGGATACCGGTGGCGGCGGCAGCAGTGGCGGTGGTGACGGGCAAATACGCGTGACCCGAGTTGTGTTCTCATAACAACGTTAGCTATAAAAAGCAACTGGTTCAAGAAAGTAATATCGGTGTAAAAATTTTAGCTAAGTTTTGCCGCATTTTTTATTGCGGCTAAAATCCCGTATCTATCATCACTGCACTGACTGCGAGATTTGGCAGGATATCTTTGTAACTACGGGCAAGACGCGCTCGAGGAGCAGCGTCAGCAGGAATGGTAACATGATTACATGATCGCTTATGATATCGCTCGTCAACATTATGTCACATGCGGAATGTGAGATGTCAGCAAAACCTGTGATTTTATTCTAGGCACATACGATGACGCCATTACGAGGCTTTTTCGCTTGGTTTTGTGTTGTATCCTACAGGTAGCTCAACGACAGGTGGCGTGCCGAAAGCTTCAGGGTAAGGCGCTACGTAGGCGTACTGTGAAATTCTATGACACATGTGTTCGGAACTTATTTACTGCATAGTGGTGTTTCGACTACTGCCCCCAAAACTGGGGATAGACAAGGTTACAAAAGTTGAACGATAGATTGTCCGTCTGAAACTTTACAAGATTTTTGGAACTAAAATTATTCAACGTTTTCGGGTGTGGTGCTATAGTGACATGTAGGTAAAGTTTTATTTTTAGAACAGGACATGTACGTGGATAAATAGCTTAAACAATGTATATATATATATATATATATATATATATATATATATATATATATATATTAATTTTCTATGTGGGAAACAACGAAGTGACACGTTTTTTATTAGTGATACACCTGCCACGCAAACATTTGAACTAGTCCAACTTTTCTATTCTACGACAGAGGAACTCTACCTAACCACACTCAGCTCCAGCACAACGCATATCAGCTATTGTTTTCCGAAATAAAGCAAGCACGTAAATAAAACAGGTTGGTGCGAATAAAGCATTCATTTATTTAGACTAGGCAAATGCACTGCTTTTGTAGTGTTGAAGGTTCCCGAAGTGAAATCCAACTCGCACACAAGGTAGTTAAAAACCTTCGTGGTCGAAAGGGGTCATATCTTGTGGTTCATGGGTGTATTGCATGAATAAGCTAGGATGGACTAGTTGCTGGTGATGGGGCCATGGTACTGTTTTTTAGTGATCTTCGCATCAAGGCTTCTTCAGAAAACATAGCAAAACTACTGTATGACTATGACCACGCAAAAATGATTTCCAGCACATTTCCTGGCCTAATTGCACCTTCAGAGGCCGCTAATGCTCAGCAGTTATAACACTCACTTTTGTGAACATTGTGGACGTTGTGCCCGGTCTTTATATTGAAATTTAACGCATACGTGTGCAAATTAGCGTATTAAAAGCAACTTGAAGGCGTACTAGCTTTACGTCTGCACCAATCAAACAGAAATAATCAGGACGCCCATTTTTTTTAAAAAGACAGCTAACTGAATATGTTTCGTGTTCTTGTGAATGTCTTTACAAAAATAGCGCCTTGAAGCTGTCGCACTGCCTTAAATACTGCTGCTATGCAGGGCAATGCAGGTTTTACTGAGTGAACTGGGGCTGCTCCCAGAGGCTCGCCTTTCAAATCTGAGTGATATTGAGTAACACAAAGAGAATAAGCATCAACATTGCTAAAGCGACACTGCTGCTGCACTTTCTGCGAAATTTCTGCGTGTTCGCGTCACGTAGCCCCTCACATCAGCAGGCAGAAAGACAATATGCGAGGAATTATTGGTTAGCGGCGATCTTCTAACTAGACCATGTGCTAAATGACGCCAACTTCCAAAAAATGATAATCTACACATGCCATCATCGTTACTAGTAGCGATAACTGACACTTTTGCGTGGATTGCCTTGATGCCCGCTCCCTTGCTCGGTGGATTGAGGCACCCTACTTCTGCGCATATATGGGTGATTGATCCAGTTGGTAATTCATTAAGGTTTGAAATAAGAGCACAATACGCAGACAAAGTAAGTTAAGACACAGAGAAGTGCTTGCTACCAACTGAAAATCTCATTGTGTGTGTTTGTGAAACTTTTATCTGTCAGTATAATTTTACAGCTTTCCGTAAAAAAACTTTCAGTAGGAAGTAAGCGCTTGCCGTGTCGTAGCTGCCTCTCTACATATCGCTCTCGCAATTCAAACCACCACACACATACTTCATACAATTCATGTGGGGATGACTACCGCTGTAACCCAGATGGTAGAGCATCGCACATGTTATTCCAAGGGCAAAGATTCGGTACCTGCCAGATGCAAGTTGCATAATTGTCAACTTTCGTTTTTGTCAACTACAATATAATTGTGACGAATAACATCCCCTGTCCTTTCTTGGCGTTATTGTCCGTTAGTTCTCTGTATTGTTGTTTCCAACAGCAGCGTTGAAATTTTCACTTATTTCTTTCAGTACAATATGCAGTACGTTAACGAATGGCTTATAGGTGACCAACAGCTCTTGGAACCTATCAGGACCATGCCTGGTTATGGTCTTTCATGGATGACCTTGGTTGAAGTATACTTCTATATAAACCACTGCAATATCGGACGTATATTTAGCAGAGTACCAATTATGAAGTAAAAAGATTGATGTCGTGACCACGTCTTTTGGCTCAATGTATAATACAAACTTTCATCTATCACACGACAGATACTGGGTTTGGATTGGTTTGCCGTTGCTGTGAGAGATGTAAACCCGGATCCCAAGTTTAAGTGCCTTACAGCGACTCGCATTGATTTAGACCGTAACATCCTATCAGCTACATTTCAGTGGTCGCTGAACGCTGGCAAAAATGCTCCAAGGTAAGTAAGGTCACTTGTCTTGGGGTGAACATAATTCTTGGCAAATATTCTTTCTTTATTCGGCACGACCTAAGGACCACCTCAGAGGACAAAAATTAAAGTTAAGTACTAAGTTAGCTGGACACTACTGCACAAATACCACACAGCTTGTCTCCCTCCACGTGTCGCGCGATCGATTCCCGACTGCGGTGGTGGCTGTCTTTTCTATGAAGGTGAAAATGCTGTAGGCCCCTATGCAGAGATTAGGGTGTACGTTAAAAAACCCAAAGTGGTCAAAGTTTTCGAAGCCCTCCACTAATGTGTCATTTATAATCATATGGTGGATTTGGGACGCTAAAAGACACATATTCATCAATCTCTCCCTACAGACTTCAGCGCCCTATATGAGGCGCTAGTTCTGTAGAGAGACGAGCTCACTAGGTTAACCAACTGGCGAATCAGCAGAGTGTGCGGCTGCTTTTATTTGGGAGACTGCTTGCTCCGTCTTCACAGCTGTTTTTGCATGAAGTCCGGAAGATTGCAGGGTGTTTGATAGAGGTGTTGCTAAACTAGCAAATGCGTGCTCCCTCCACGTGTTTGGGAAGCACCTTATCTAACTGCGGGCACCTAACCTCTATCCTTTCCCCTTCACATGTTGGAGAGATAGACAAGATCTGTGTAACCAGATATAGAAAAGACTACGCACAGAGTGGTGCCCAGTAATACTGCACACCACGGCTTTGCACCACAATAACTTCCCCAAATTATGGCCGGCTTTTTACAGCAAAAGCTGTTATGAGATCAGATCAGATCAAGCTGTTATGAGATCAGATCGGCACCGTGCGTGACACGCGTCACGCACGGTGCCGTCATTATCCGCCGCCCCCACTGTCACCACCGGTGCCAATAACCAGTATCGCAAGAAATAAATCTCAGTAAATTAAAAAAAAAACACCAAGGACACAGTAGCATTCGAACCCAGGTCTGCTACTTGTAGCCCATTATTCTACCATAGAGCCACGCCGGTGCTTGGAAATTGTTTATAAAATGGCCTTAGGCAAGCTTGATGTCGGGAAAGGAATCGTTGTAATATGAGCAATAAAGCGGTTTATAACATCAAAGGAACCACCTGGCGTTACATAATGCGATGCTCTAAGTCATTAGAAAACTTATATTTTTGTAATACTTGTGGAGCTAGCCACTTCAGGCATGATTCTTCATCGTCGTCAGCCACTGCATAAAAATTGCACAAAATTCTAAGCAAGTGCGTAGCAGATACCACGCTTCTCTTAAGAATGACAGAAAACAACATGGTGAATGCTGACCTACTACACAAAGTTATGATTGTGCATGGCGTAGTGGGCACCCAGCGAGTCTGCTTGTAGCAGGTATTCAAAGAGTGTTTAGAAAAACCTCTTAAAGGCCGCTCTTCTAGCTCTCGCTGTGACTGTCGTGTGTGTTTTGCGCAGGCCTTGCTTTTTTTTTCCTGTGAAACATTTCATCAATTATTGCGACACTCCTTTATGGGAATTCTGTGTGCCCCTTCATGTAGGGGGCAACGCCAACTGTGTTTGAATTTTCAGCCATAAGAAATTGTAGACATGTGACACTCGTTACATATTGACCCGGAAACCACCAGCGCTCGAGTGCTGCGCACAATAATTTGAGAACCGGAGTCCTTGCGAACCAAGCGAAAAGACGACAGCCGTGTTTCGCCAAACGAGGCCGGCCGCAGTGCGCGCGCCATCGCTGCGGGCGCATGAGCTCCGACCCAGGAGTGAGTGAGCACGACGGAGAGAGAAACCGAGGTTAGCCGCGAGTGGCTCGTAATGTCGACATACTCCACGTTTGCTCTCTCTCGTGTTCGTTCACACATTTGGTTACACCGACAACCACGCCCTTGGCGATGCCACTCAGCACAGGAACGGACGCGTTAGGCAAGAGCTACAAAGAGGTGTTGAAATTTCGAAGCATATACAAGGAAAGCAAGCACCATGGAGCAACCTGAAAAATTCATACATACATACATACACACGTACATACATGTACATACATACATACATACATACATACATACATACATACATACATACATACATACATACATACATACATACATACATACATACATACATACATACATTACATACATACATACATACATACGACACCTAAGCCACTTTTTTTTCGGATGGTTAACCGGGAGTTCGCCGCGTGTATTCAGTGAATTTTGTTTCTCGGCGTGCGCAGCCTTTTTGAACAATTTGGGGCGAGTTGACCTTCGTACATTTTTGGACGAGTTGAGGTGCAAGCTCATCACCAAATCCAAGAACGATGTTTTCGAATTTACTCCTCTGAACAAGCAATGACGAATACGAGCACTGAGAGGGAGAAGTAGACATGAAGAGATAGGCCGGGAGATGAACGGAATTTTAGCATACAGTTTCTGCTTGTTTTTTTATTATGAAAGGAATGGTGAAATAGGGGTCGGAAACAGGAGTTTGAAAGACATGAAAAAAACGTAAAACACGCAGAAAATAAAATAATAACAACAAATACGTGCGTTTTAATTAAAGTCGTTCAGAAAGCCTGATCAATTGTAAGAAGTGCAGTTGCGCTTGCAGGGCGTTTCCTTGTTAACTTTTGTGCACACCTGCATTTTGTCTTAATTCAATTAGGTACCGGTGCAACATCATCCGAATGTCCACCTCAAAAAGTTAGCGTCATCACGATAGTCCTAAATAAACTCTACAGTTGATTCGAGTCTCTGGTGTCATGCTGGGAAAATATAAGGCCCATAGGTTTTCGCCAATTAATTCGGGTGGCCCCTCTCATATCACAGGGCTAAGCATTGAGCTTTGAAGCATTGATGTAACGCAGCCTTGGTATACTTAAATAATTTTTTATTAAAGTTTCGTTAGCAATATGCTGTGCTAGCACTCATGTATCATTGTCATTCACTTAGGAATGTTGGTAAAGTGAAAAAATACTAAAACATACCGATGAATTCTATAAGTATATTTTAGAGTAATAGCATTGTACTATTATTGAACCTTTTTTATTTAAAGTATAGACCAGCACCTGTGCATACCAGTAACACATCGCTCGAAAATAACTTCCTGGTAATATAAAAGTGCAGTGACATATTCAAACAGAATGCCACTGCACAGGCAACGTTATAGGGTGCGTATCTGCTCTGCTGGCATGGCCAACCCTGCATACGTGAGATGTGTGAGGGCGAGAGGCTGTACAAATGTATTTATCTAAGCGCCCATTTCATGTGCGTATTTCTTGCACAGGAAAAATTCCACGCTACATATCACCAAGAAACCATCAATCGACACTACAAACATTGTGGTGGACAACGGTAAGACCTGCTTCTTGGTTTATTATCCAACAAGTACGCATTATTGGCCCCATTTCAAAACTCTATGCTCATATATGGCGAAGAAAGCTGCTTCTTTTCAACCAATAATGCAGAGCACGATTCGATTGGCCCGATGAATTATGCTGTTACTGCAATTTTGTCCGACCGATCTGAATTCTCTCTTTAGTGACTTCTGGTTTCTCCTGATTGTTTGTTGAAACAAATAATTACAATGTTGCTGTTCATTAAATTTATTCACAAATGCTTTAACCTTTACCTCCCGCAAACCAACAGAAGATTTAAGCTAAAAAACCGTAACTTTGACATACAATAGTTCGCAAACGCGCCCTTTACGAAACATCCTGCTTAATTTTCATCCGTCTGTAACTTGGATATCCCTCGACTGTATGGTTCTATCCGCTCATTAACCAGTAAGCATGCTTGCGACAATTCAAAAGAGAGCCACGTGCTGCGTTTGAATGAACTCCGTCATTTATTTGAGAGTTATTCAGGTTGAACTCTATAATTACTTCGAGCCTTTATCTTCTGCTTTCGACTATCTTTGCTATGCCTAATTGACAAGTAGTATACCGGCGTCAACTAAAACCCGCAAAGCAGCAAGTATTTGCATTTGTATAGTGCGCATCATACAGAAAACATCATGCCCACGTGAGCATGAGCGCATTTCTGCCCGACCGGATGCGCGCACCAGTCAATGTTGATGGACTGAGACAGCACAGAGCAAGAAACAACTCTATTAACAGCACAAGGATGCCCTTGAATACTGATTTTCGTTAGTACGAAAGGCGTTGGCCAGTAGCTTGCCAAGGCCTTTTCGGGCCAGTTAATCGCTTCTACTAAAGTAAACTATACGTTGCTCCCAGGAGTCACTCTCTCGCTTACAGAGAGGAAGCTGGCATTATTGTCGTTAGTGTTGGATGTCTCTCGCACTCCTAAAAATTGTGATTTTAGCCATATCGTTGCCAATGCCTGCCACTCTTCGTTTCTTTTTGTGCCTACTTTAGCGAAATACGTGACTGCACTTTGAAGATGTCACGAAAGTTGCATAATCAGCTGAGCTTCGTGCGCGTACTTGTTATTCTACCGCAAACGCGTTTGGCACAGGAGCGCTACCATAAGATCGGCACGTGTCGAATGTTCTTGCCGGTGATATTGCCTCTGGTAGTAACATTAAGGCGCATCAGCATCGACTGGAGGTGCGTTTTTTATTACAGCCCGTGAAATAATTTTGGTGTTCAATTTTCAGGCCTTATATGTTTGCAAAACGTTGATATTTCTTTTTCTTAGCCTTCTTCAATGTACCCTCGACGGGACTTCGAATTTTGCTTGCATAGGTTAATATTTTTGAGTTATATTTTAGAATATTATTGTTCACTTGGCCTGTAACTTTGTTTCCTAAAAGTTTAATTATGTTTCTATTGTCACCCGCCTTCCTTCCCAGTAGCACATCTTTAGGAGCCAGTTCGTACACCTTTTTTTGGAACGGAAGATTGACCTAGTAAAAGCGTGTAAACTGTTTTTCACCCAGCCGTTTATTTGAAAAAAAAAGTCAAGCAGGTCAGTGCATTCGGGCACTTAAGATTTATTAAGTAAATAAACAAAACACAACTTTAAAATTTATAGCAAATCCGCAAAGTGAGTTAATTTAAAATGGGAGCCACTGTTTCCATTGATTTTCACGGAATCTGGCGGAATGATCACAACGTGTTTCGAATTTCACTAGAGATGCAGAACAACAAAAAAAAACAGCTGTATTCTTCTGCAGATGTGAATGCAAACGCAGCGTTTGACCTCTTGCGTCTGCTGGAAATAATGCTCATAAAATTGTGCTAGAAAAACGTATGCGCATGCTGAAACTTGATTTACTTTACTTTGAATTTTTCAATATCTGTGGTGTAAAAAACATGATTCGGAGCATAACTATAGCCAAACATATTCTGACAGAGGCTCAATAATCACATGAGTTCAGTTCGGTGCTTGTTGCCGGTGGATCACTGACTAAGTATTTTTATTGTATTCGTTATTAGATCTCTGTGAACTCATTTGACTCAATCACCTGCGGGAAACAGGTAGACGGGCATAGTTCGCGATAACGAGTCCAGGGGTGGCTTCATTGGGTTCTGCTTGGCTGTAAAGTGTAACCTCTTTTATTATTACATTGTTGAGTGTAGTTATGTATTTATCACTATGCGAGAAACCTCACCAGAAATCATATCTTTGTCTCATTGCAGACACTGCTAATCCAGATGTTCTTCGTTACCTATACGCTGACAATACCGTGACGTGTGCGATCATGAAATTGCGCTACTTTGTCTATCGTAAGAGCGAATATTGTGTTCCTAGTAGCAAAAGTATATGTGAGCCCAAATACCCTACTGAAAAAAACGTCTACCACAGAAATGGTGGATTCCACCATCCACCCTTTTCTTGGATCATGGCGTTCCAATTATTTGTGGCACGTGGTGTATGGTGGCGTATGGTGGGTGCTGGAGTGCCGGCAATGCTGTAGCGCAAGACGGCTTCCCAACCACCGTGACGAGTTGCCACTGAAAATTGAAGCTTATCATGTAGAAAGCAATACAAAATGCACCCGTAAAAAGAAAACGTGACCACGAGAATTAGAACGTCCAACCTTTGGATTTTCAAATAAACACACTGACAACTGCACCATGCTGACATAACCAAGGTCATCGTAAAATGACAAGTCAGCTTACTAACTGACCATTCAACTTCAATTTTGTATGACGCGTACTCGAGATAGACGGGAGCTGCACTTACTACAAAACTTGCACATTTATTATACGCAAACACCTGCTGACTGTGACGACTACAACTGCGATAATGGCAACAGAAGTGTGTTTTCGTTACAATTGACAAAGGCAAACGAAAAATTTGGCGCCATATCTGCATGTTACACAGCGAATGTCGTCGAAAGACGATAGCCTGGTGTCTGGAAAGAGCGATCAAAACGTTTATTCGATGTTCTGCGCAAAAAAATTTGTGAATGGTATTCTGCAGGCGCCGAGTTAGAGTGCCTCGAGCGTGCAGCTGAGGCGAACCAGTGCATCAAGTCACGTCACACGTGAGACACGAGTGCTATTTGGCACTTAGCTTGAAAAACGAAGTGGGCGTGCCCTGCGTGCCCGTCTCGGAGGTGATAAGGTGTCGAACGCAAGGCGACGGGTAGGTGCCACCACCGTGTCGTCTTAGCAAAGCGTTGCAAACACATGCCTTTATGTACAAGCGTTGCATGGTCAGCGCAGCGTGATAAACGCTACGGCTCTTAGAATTACTTATGTATGCTTTTTCTGATTAGAGAGACAGATACAGAATATTGGCGTGTTGTTATGGTGCCTCATATATGTGCAATAATTGCTATTTAATTGACAATCGCACAAGTCTGAACGCTGAATCTTGAGAAATATTGGTGGCCGCTGCGGATGGGGTCGGCCATTTTGAGTATTGCTTGGCCAATATGGTGCCGTTTAGGTTACCGTTAACGGTGGACAAATAGACAAAAGTACAGAGAGACAGACAAACAGACAGACAGACAGACAGACAGACAGACAGACAGACCAAAATGGTTGCGTCGAAGGTCCTCAAAAAAGACCATCGTCTTTAAAGTCAAGTAGACTGAGAAGCTTATAGAGTTTACCAGCGGTTACTGCCAAGTCTATTATCCATTGCTCGCTCGAAAAGAAGTCATTTGCTCAGGCTTTATGACGGCTATAGGCTCATTCAATAGGTGTGCTCCCACAACAATTGAGTATTGTGATGTTTTCCCGCAGCGTACAGCGCAGTCGTGTTGCATACTGCTGTAGTTCTATCGTTAGCAACAGCTACATTTAAAGGCTTGGCCAACACGAATTCAGTGCGCCGGAAACATTATGCTATCATATTGGTTCAGTAAGCATACGAATGGACAAGTATGCGTTCTCGCATAACATTCAGAGAAGTGCCGGCAAGTGCGACCGGTGGCTGTCAGTGGGCAGAGGCGTACCTTTGCTGGAATGCTTGAACCGGGTCGCTTCGATGTTCATCGCTTTTTGCGCTGCCATCGTACACAATAACGATTCCTCGTTTAGGTTAAACGATGCCGCGCCTGTGCTGAATGGTTATTTTTACTCGTCTAAATGGTGTATTTGAGACCCAGAAGCACCAATAACACTTGTATGGTCTCGGTCGGTAGGCCTAAACCTTGGTAGCAAGCATGGTGGTAGAACAAAAGGGTGGAAGTCACACTCGCTGGGGCTCATCTAAACGCATGTAGAAGATAAAAATTAATGCATTTTAGCATCATACGCACTTTGCTAATATAAATGTACCGCTAAAATAAGTAAGTGCACAAGAATATCCAGAGTTGCGTTCCCAGCGTAGCGACATCAAGTGACCGCTGTATTTTGGTCTACCATTGAAAGGGGCAATTGTGAACCAGAGCTTATTTATTTCTAGACAACTGCGCGGCGATGTACATATTTTCTATCGCTGTTCACAGTGACACCTCCAGTCTTGTAAACATCACGATGAAAAAACACATCGCGCTTTTCCAAAGTGCTAGAAAGCGTAATGACCGGCTTCGGTTTGTTTCGAATATAAACACATCTCTCTGCGCATTTAGAAGTATAACACTATAAATTAGTAGTTCGACATGCTGCAATCGGCTTTTTCGCCATACCACCGTCATCCACCAAGCTTTCATCACGCCATCATCATCCGAATTGTTCACCAAGCCAACCATGAAATACGTTTTTTATCGCCACCATTAGCCGGAATTTTCCACTGTCACCACGATTTGCTCGCCACCACTACAACCATATGCCACCATTTTTTTCTACTCTGCCATTATAACCATTGCATTTTCCCTCATATCTACTATTATTTTCACCATTTCCAGTATTCTTCCCACCATATTCTGCAAGAGGTCCAGCATCTACCAACCCATGTTTTTCAATAGGATAAAGAGATGATTTGATGTTTCTCAAAGACGTAATGGATAACTCAATCGCAGAAGACAGCACGGTCTGCTGCAATTGAGTTATTTATTACTTTTTTATCAATCGAGTTATCCTTACTTTAGAAGAAGCACAAAAGCTCACTGAGATCATCAGGAATAATTTCGGAAGCGCAAGAAGAAACATCGGTAATTAGGCTCTCTGGCTGGTCTCATCATGGTCTCATCACATTGCCATAACATCCAACAAAGCTCTAAAAAACTCGGGCATAGTAACCGTTCGCTACCTTTAGCCTCAAAGGAAACAATATTGTTAACATATAAAACCTTTGTAAGAATAACTCTTCAATATGGCGCCACGGTTTAGTACCACTACAAAATTGGTGATATAAAAGACATGAAATCCCTCCAGAAAAAAAGTCTTTCGTTTCATATACGAACGTCATCACTGAAATTTATCACCTTCATCCCACCTAACTAACCTTGGCACGATTTCACCTTCAAAAAGACGTGACATCGATTGTTTGAAACTTCCATTTCTATTTTTATTTGCCTTAGTAGTTGTCACACAATAATCACATAACGCCGGACAAAACAACATTCACTTTTCACATCACAAAGCGTGATGTTTTATCATCACAAAGCCATCTTCAAAGTCACTTTTGCCCCCCTGTATTGAAATGTAGAATGCCATAGCAGGTCATATTCGTTTATTAAAAAAGGTGAATTTCAGAGGACTCTAAACGATGCTTTACGCTCATCGTTACATGTAACTTTGCCATATTTATATAATGATGTTTATAGAATTTTTTGAGTTTATTTGACTTGCCATTGTCTTTGTTTTATCTCACTTATGCTCAGTTTTGTTTTTTTTACATTATTTATTCTTCTATACCCACTTCTGAGACAGCCCTCTCACCTGGCTCCAGTATGTGAAACTTAAGAAAAATAGAATAACAAATCGGGGAGGAATAATATCGCGAAGATGACTACCCCACCAGCTTAGGTTGAGGCTCTGTACCAAAGGTTGGCGAGGAATCACAAGGAGAATATAATTGTCTGGGCTGCCCCACGGAACATGCATCCCCAACGAAATGTCGTAGCCCTTCTCCGCCAAGTTGCCGATCTTGACGGCGGTGCCTGTGTAGTAGACGTGGCGCAGTATGATGATGACGGATTGATTTACGGTAGTGGCAACCACACAAAAAGGGGTTACCAATTGTGGGACGTCGGTATGTGCCAAAACTGCTATTGCAGCCGAGGAGGTTACCATTGTCCTAGCTCTTTTAGAACATAGTAACGAAAATATATTTAGCGGTTCTAGAGCGGCCATCCATGCTTTCCGTGTCGGAGCTGCATGCAATGAGGCCAGATGCATACTCGGTGAAAAGACACTTACAACCCCTACACATGCGTGGTAACCAGGTCACATGAGGAACATGGATAGAGAGATTATCAATCTCAATGAGTTGGCCCACTTTAGGGTTCGAGGGTTAGCTGACCGCGACCATGCAGGACGTTTGGGGTGACCTGAAATTTTAGTAAACAAGGATTCGCAAACTCAAACAATGAAATTACCCAGCCTTTTGCTTTGTATAGGAGAAACTTACCACCTCCACATAGGAAGCTAAATATAGCGCAGGCGCTGAAAGTAAACGCTAAGTTCAAACGGAAACTTACCTTAACACTGGCTTTCTAGACAAGCTTGATCCTGATAATTACACAACTAATTCACGTTCCCAATAGGGTGGTTAAGCTGCCTAATACCGCATGCTTCAGGAGTGTCCACAGGGCGGTGTACCAGCTACTCGGAGTCCGCTCTGTGGAGTCCGGATGTAACATTCCTACTTTGGGTCATCCAGAGGGCCCAGGATGCGGCGTAGGCTTTTACCTTACTGTCCCGTCATGGGAGCGGCCCACCAAGGGTTATTGCAGGCGCCTTCGGACTTTGAGAGTCAAGTTTTCCGAAACCAAACCAAAATCGCTCCACGAGCCATCCAGCAAACACTTTACGAGGCATAAAACAAGAATGTTGGCGTTAAACTGAAAAAAAAAAACACTTTCATATCCTAGTAAATTACTCAGATCACACAGCTCTGACTTATCATATTGAAGGGGCTTCTGACATTCAGGAAGCTACATACCCTACGCACCAACATCACCAATTTTAAACTGTAGTTAGCAGATCTCAAATGAAATTTGTGTTTTTTGTTTGAACCAGGTCACCTCTTTTCAAAAAATCATTCTCGTAGATATGCAATCACCGAAATTTGTGTTTTAAGGGAGTTACACGAAATGGTACCTGTACTACAGCTGTCGTGCTTTCGACAAAATAGGTACGTTCAAAACTATAGGTTCGCAGTCGTA